TTGTCTCTCACCCATTTGAGTCGACCCTGTTGATCATTGCTCAATTGCTTGTAGATAGGAGACATCCACCAGTTTCCTGGGGTGGGAATAGCACACAGACTAATACTAACAGGTCCATTCCACTTACAAGCTCTTGCCCTAAACCTCCGATAATTAGCCACAAAAGGTGCAGAAGTCCAGTCAATCTTGACCAGTCCACCTCTAGTCGCCCAATTATCAGCATTCCATAAACTAGAGTAAACTCTCATCCCTTGTTGATTTGGGTATGCAATCCCTTCACTCTCATAGTTTCTGAACACCCGAATAGGCACACTATCAACATACCATCTGCAATACATAAACAATATTAAAATAACTATTAAACAATCATTAAAGATGTAGAATTTGGTACTTCGATTTGGTTTTTACTTACACTACCATTGTAGGATTCCAGTGAATGGTGTAGTTGTGATAACCGGAAGTTGGGTCAAACCATAATTTGAACTGTTGCTCTTTGTTGCCTTGACCTTGAGTGTAGATGTTTGTGTGGATTGTGTATGGTTCTCCTGTTGAGTTCCCCAAGAACTCAAAGTCGATTTCATCATGTTTAGCACCCGTAGAAGACAACTGTGATCATTATTCAACTTTGTGTTTAGAGTTATTTATGAAATAATACAATCTTCATTTGTTTATTAGAGTTTAATGCATGAAATAACGTGTTTTCATTGATTTGTTTATTGTAACATCAAACTTATATTACTTTCTTTTATAGCATTGTATTTTGAAGAGTAAATCTAATTATGGTATTGTCATCGATACACAAACCAATTTCCATTTCTATAATTGTTTATACTTTACGGAAATCATAGAAAAACCATTAAATTTTTGACAACTTTAAGGTTTAACTACTTAAACTTAATTTTTTTCTATCGAAAACTATATAAAAGTTACACATGTTCCAATAACCATCTAGGCTTGTTATGATAACCGGTCATCATGATTAATATAATAGGTCATAATACTTAAGTTGGAAAAATATTTGAAATTTTTAATATTGTTTGATTGAAAAATATAACATTAGTGGTTAAACGGCGAAAGTGCCCAAGATATAATGGTTTTTTCTTTTTCGTCATTTTCCTTATATTTTGTTGTGTATACATTTTTAAGATACTATATACACGACTATTTAGATGAAAGTGTGTTGCTGTTTCATGATATTATCCCTTTGTTTTATGATGGTTCTAGAACTTACATAATATGCTGTCACGGTTCCAGCCGAGTTTCCTGGCACCAACTTGATTAGCATTTCAATGCTTCCGAACAGGAATGCCCTCTTTGATTGGATGCCTGATCCTGTAATTCAAAGTTGGAACTGGAATTAGAATCGGAATCAGAGTCGGAATCAAACATCCCATTCATGAATATACCTGAAGTTTGGTCCAAAACAAGTCGGAGGTCATCACCATTGCCCAGAATTGAGGAATGGTGAGCACCCCAATTGAAATACATGCTTTTGGCGATAGTTGCATCAACCATGGCGGAATGGAATGCTATTCCGATCACCAAAACCGTAATCAGCAAAGCTTGAGAACCTGCCATTTTTCAATCTGGTGAATGTTTCTCTAAATTTACTGGGTTTGTTGGTGGTGGTGTTGTTTTCTTGATAGTTTATATAGCCTTTGTCCAGCCTATGCATCTTACCAAGATGAATCTTGTATTCTTTGACTTTGTTTTATAATATATCTTGACCTTGTCTTTCATTTTGACATTCTTGCAGCCTTATATTTGCTTTCTGTTGTAAAAGTTCATGTTAAATTTAAAGTGTTATTTATTAAGTAAAAAGAAGCCAAGCAAGAATATTGTGCACACTCTATTCCATGTATAAAACTCAGAATAGATATACAACACATTTCTGTTGCATTTAATATATGATAGATTTTTGCATATTTGAATTCGATCCAAAATGTTATTAATTAGTAGTTTATTAACTAAAAATTTTAAATCAGTAAAATTTAATTTCATAATTTTATTATGACATGTGTTGTCTATTTGTCTAGTATATACATTGTTTTTTAGTTGTTTAAATGTTTGGAGTAAGAAATATGTTTTATACTTTATTATATAAGGAATGTCTAAAGTTAATACTTACGTGCATACATAAACACGCTTTTAGTAGGTGTACTACGCCATAAAAACCTGTGTACAAGCTGTAGAGATGATCGAACGCATAAATTGAACCGGTGCACGATGGGGTGTGGGTTACCTATGGTTTTGTATAAGACGTGCATCCCAATCGAACGTAGCTACTTCAATAATTATAATATTATATTCATTATTCAATTATATTGATAAGTTCTTTATAAAACTTTTACACATATATAGTCCTATATTAAATATTATATTCATTATCCAATTATATTGATAAATTTTGCTAGTTGTCTAACTAATAAGTTATCACAATACCATGCCTTCAACCCTACAAAATCAATAATATAAATTACATTAAAATTTAGAAAGCAACTTAGACGTACATAGACTTAAACAATATTTTTTTAAAAACAAAATTTAAGAAAACGCTTTCTAAACGCTTTACTAATTAACTGGAGTTTGCATTGTCATAGGCTTTCCTATATACTAACAATATTACAAAACTACTTAATCAAATGCTTTATAAAAATACACCCACAATGTTCTGATTACTAATAGTGTTACCAGAGCATTAGCTTTTCCGGAAATTTCCAAACGAGATGGTCGGGATCTAGATTAGCTGGCAACGACTTATAACAGTTACACGACAAAATCACCACGAATTGTTAGGCGAATATTGGGGAATCTCGGGTGGTTAAGTTAGAGAGAGAGAGAGAGAGAGAGAGAGAGAGAGAGAGAGAGAGAGAGACTTGATCGATGTGTATGTATGTGCGTGACAAGGAGAGTGGCTTGAGTATATGTTGGGACCGATGTGGTGCATTATTACGGAGGGAGAAATATGTGGAAATAACTCTATCTGGTCTCTTAATTGTATTCCCAAAGTTTACCCAAATTTTAAATTGGTCTTGTAATTAAGATATGTATATGTGAAGTTCAAGATTGTGTCTTTCCACAAGAGGTCTTATTGAGTGGGGGGATTCCAACATATAATTTAATATGCTTAAACATTTTATTTACTTTATTTACATTTTTGTAAATAAGTTATTTAGTGAATTAATTTAATATAATTTATAAAAAAGGTCTTAAAACCATATTTAAAAAATTAATAAGTTACATTTGGTAGTTTTTAAATCTTTTTTAATAATGTTTTAATTAACTACATTTTATTTTAAGCATTTAAAAAAAAAAAAACTAAAATTGCTTGTTTGCGACCAAATATGAGCACCCTAATCTTTTGGGTTTTTGCTCCCAATTTAAAGAAATAAAATGGCTAGGTTTGTCCATCATCAGCCCCTTAAGCCTTGAAAGAAACCCTAATTAATCATCTTCCCTCCCATTTTTGAGCTAGTTTGGTATTTTTGAGGCTAAAGAAAGAAGAAGGTGGAGGTAGGAAGCAAGGATCCAGCAAGCAAGCAAGCATTCATTCTTTAGTTTGACACTATTTTGTAGCTTTGTAAGTGTCCAAGACTCGATTTTTATCATTCCAAGTTGTTAGATCTTGAGTTTTGTTCCTTTAGCTTCTTATTCTTGAATGATGGAATGGTTAGAACTCAAAAGGTTGGCAAGCTTATCAATCTCCGGGTCAAGAGAAGTTAGTAGTGTTTTATATCTGGATTATAATCAAATTTTGATGTCATGCATAGAGATTAGGTCATGAATCACCATTTTGACTTAATTCGGGTTCAAGACATACATTGGACATGTATGTCTATAAAGCACCAAGCTTTGGGATGGTTTTGGTGTTTGAATCACTTTTGGAAATGATGGACCTTAGACTTTAAAGATTAAGTAATTGTTGGTTAAACTCTTGCATTATAGGGATTTATGGATTAAGTTTTGAACCTCTTTGGGTAGTCCCAATGGACAAAGTTGGAAATTTTATCCTTATGGACCACGTTGTGGACAAGATATGAGCTTTGGAGCTCTTATAATCGGACAAAACAACTTAATGTATTAAGCTGTTGAAACTCGGGCAAACATGGCATGTTGGCAAAAGCCAACACGACGTGTGACCGAGATTTTTCTCGGCTGATTGGATGCTGGCGCAACACGACATGGCCAAGGGGCAACACGATGTGTTTCATCAACATGGACTGTTGACTTTGACTTTGACCAGCAGTTTAATCAGGGCTGACCATGGGATATTTTGGACCATGTTTGGGCCATTTGGATTGTTCAATTGGGCCTTGGCTTTGGGTCAAGTTATAAAGAGGGTAAAAAGATCTTTTACCCTACTTTGAACCGTAGTGTGGGTGGGATCCAATTATTGATGATTAAGTTGTGATTGATAGCGTGAGGATTCTTACAGACCAAAAAAACAGAGATTCTTTTTGCGAGATTCGGCAGTACAAGGAGAGTTTCCTCACTGGGTCTCGGATGATTAACCGAACCCAAATCTGTCTCAATAATAATAACAATTACACTAAAATATGTTGCTAACACTATAATTACCAACATTAATGTAACATCCCAAAAATTATAAGGTAAAATTTTCATTTAATGTATAATCAGAAACACCAATTATCTCTTTCTAAACAGAAAAAAGTATATCATAATTAAACAGTTATCAGAGTACAATCTCAAAATCATTAAGTTGTAGAAACATGAGTGGATGTGCTGCAATCAAGTTGGACCCTTCCCTTTCGAACCGGAAGTACTTGAAACCATAACCATAAACTATAAGCATAAAGTTTAGTGAGTTCCCCAAAATACCACATACCATACATACTATTGGGCCTAGCCTAATATACAAATGCAAGAGTCACAAAGACAACTAACACCTTACATAACATATAGTGAGACTAGCCCTTTCGGATCCATAGCCTAGCCTAACATACAAATGGGCCTAGGCAACAAACCATTCAAGAGTCACAATGAGAACTAGCACAACATATGCTAGTGGGTTGGCATTGGTTCCTTGGACCCACATGTATATTGAAGACACTCGCCTAAATCACAAAGCTGACCTTAGCAAATTGCTCTCCTGCCAAAAGACTAGTGCTCGACCCCTCCTATCAATCCATACAAGGTAAATCCTAAGTCTACCTTAAAAAATAGAATTTTGACCAAAGGTCAAACCATGCCAAAAGTCTACGGTCAAAGTCAAAGTCAACAACCCAAAATGTCAACCAAGGTGGTAGAACTCGTTACTTGGCCTGTTCGGCCGACTACCGAGTAGCGAGTACTTGGGGAGTACTTGGCGAGTACTCAGATTTGGTAATTCATTTAGAAGAATTTCATAAAAGTTATATATGTCAAAATCATAAGTTAAAATCATAAGTTGATTGAAATATATAACAAAATTACATAAATGTGAATACACAAAAACTAGAAAACACATAATGGTCTCACTTCATGAATAATACTGAATATTTAAGATATATATAGTAATAATCACATGTGTGTGTGTTAAATAATAATTCATTAAGTATATCATACATATTAGTCACTGATTTCACCGAGTTTTACAACACTCCTAAGTTTAGTAAGGGGTTGATAAGGAGAGTACTCGGGATTCTGTAATTCACCTCGGTAAGGGGTCAGGTAGCGAGTACTCGGAGGAGTAATCGGCCAACTCGGCAAGTTTTACAACACTAATGTCAACTATCCATCTTCATGTTGTGACCAATCCTTGGTCATGTCGTGAGATCTCACTCTGTTCGATTCTAACTCATTCCGACTCACCCTGTCCAACTTAATCATGAAAAGTCAACGAAACAGACATCATGTCATGAGCAGCCTCCTCTCATGCCGTAAGCTCCAAGAAGATAAATAGGAAAAGGTTCATTCAATCCTCACGTCATGAGACCCCTATGTCTCACGTTGTGTATAGTCTGAAGCCAAAGGTCCAAATTTTAAGTCCTTCATCCTTTAAGCCTTGAACCTAAATCTTTCCATGAGGTCTTATAACTTTTTAATACACTAGAAAGTTGATGCTTTTAAGACGTATATGTCCAATACATGTATAGATCTCATTTAGGTCAAAAGTTGAAGAAAAGACATTCGACTTTCATGCAAGGTTCCAAAACTCAATTGTTCTGTAGAACTATACTCCAAGATACCCTTAAGCTTTCATAACCCATAAATTTGCCAACTTTATGTTTTCCATTCATTCAAACTTGCACATACAATAAGAAAAGTGAAACAAAATTTAGAATCTTTAACACTTGCACAGGTCCAGAAAAGTGGGTCCTGAAGCTTTCCTGAATGCAACTTGGTCTCACGCTTCATCAAGCATGAATACAAAGTATGTCTGTGAATCTGTCATCATGAAGGAATTAATCCATTTCCTTGCTAATTCCTATGAAGTAAAGTAAGTATATGTTGTATTGTAATTCCTATTTTGAGGTGTTTTCTGGTTTTTTTTAATAGTTTATTTAATTATTTACTAATCTTCCTATCATTCTATTAATTTGATTAACTCTGAGTTTTGAAAGTTTTTTTTTATTATTTTTGATATTTCTTATATTTACAGTCCACAGACCACAAAAATGGCTTTAATATTATATATTATTTGTGTCTGTTATTGTTGTTATAGTAGCAACAATCTGGAAAGAAGAGAGGACCCCTAACAACATGTATTACCTGTAATTGTCAATTGGTTAGGGCACAGTTGATGAATAGTGGCAAGAATGGTATGTTTTTATTTCGGTATACTCAAAGATGTGAAAATGTGTCACCAACACTAAAAGTATATTAGATATAAAAATGCGAATCTTCTAATTCTTTTATGTATTTTCATGGTTTCATTTTCTTTTATGTTGTTGAAGGAGAAAAAGGTTAGCAGAGATGAAGCAAACTGTGAAAGTTGCAAAGTTTCAGTCAGTCATTCCCATTTCAGGATTCGATTTTGTGCGTGAGGTATCACAAGCTCCATCTGATGTGTGGGTGGTTGTTAGTCTATAAAAAGATGGGTAATCACTAATTCACTACTATTTTGTTTGTTATTGATTAACAATTGATTTTGATTATATGGTTGTTAATGGGAACGTGTGATTGAATAAGTACCCAAAGTGTGGAGTTATAATGCAGTGTGTGGAAGAACTGGCAACAATGTATTAAACTACCAAATTTGTCAAGATTATATCAACTCATTGCATTCCTAATTATCTAGATTGTAATATTCCCACTATGTTGGTCTACAATAATGGTGTAGTGCAGGCAAATTATGTTAGGTTGCATACTTTTGGTAGGAGATGCACTCCATAAGGTATTGCTATGATTTTATGCCAATCAGATCCTGTTCTTAATGATGAACTCAATGGTGAAGCTTATCAAGAAGTTGTTCTTGAAGGAGTGAGGAAAAGGTTTATAGAGATGCACTCCAGAAGGTGTTGTTTTCTTAATGTTTTATGTTAAAGTATAATAGGTTTTGTTTAATAACATCATCTGAGATTTTATCCCCTTTTAGATCTGTTTGTTTGTTTGGATTTCATTTTCTTTGTCTATCCTGTTATCCAACTGCTCTTTGAATTTTTATTGTCAGCCTTGTGAAGGAGTATTGCTTTTTGGGCCTCCTGGGAAAATATTTATTGCCAACGCACTTGCAAATGAAGCAGGAGCTAACTTCATCAGCATAACTGGTTCCACATTTACATCTAAGGTACTCTACTTACATTTCTCTACTCCCACTCGTACATATTTTTTTCATAGTTCTCTAGTGATATTTTTCCTTGTGTCATAGAATGATTGGCTCCTATCTTGTTTTTCGATATTTATACGCAATTTTTTTCTTAGGTCGGTGTTGGTGAAGTTCAATACCATGGTGAGTTGCAAGGCTTGAAGTTGCCATGAAGATTGTCAATGGATAAATTACTCACAGGTTCCTTTAATGTTGTACATGTTTTGCTTTTCTATAAAATATATTATGCAATATTAGCAATGTATTACATAACTTACTATTGGAATGATAATTTGTATTTGACATATTAGTGCAATGAATTATCTTTCTTATTTATTTATTGTATTTTATTTCGTAGTATAAGATTTTTAATGTGTTATTTAATTTGAAAATTACTAAATCTATCAAAGTATATAATTTTTAAAACATTCAAAATTATGACACACAAAAATGTGTGTCGTCTTTTTTTTATGACAGGGGCTTAAATGATACTCAATGCATGTCTTAAATGCGCGTCGTATGGTTACGACACGCAAATGTGTGTCATCTTCCTTTATGACAGGGCCTTCCTTGACATGCATTGCGTGGCGTAAACGCACGTCATAAATACATCGTAAATAGACGACGCGCAAAAGCATGTTATCTCTCGTTATGAGAAGGCCTTCCTTGACATGCATTTGCGCGTCTTCTGAGCGTTTTACGACACGCATTGCGCATTTGCGCGTCGTCTGAGCGTTTTACGACACACATTGCGCATCGTAAAAGGCTATTTTTCTAGCAGTGTCTGCTTCTTCTTCTTCTTCTTCTCTTTCGTCCACACCAAGAAAGGCTCGCGTTAGAGATGCTTAAATACAAAGGAAACCCTAAAAGATCATGAGATTGGCCTGCAACACTTTTTCTCAAAAAATCAACATTTTGACTCCTTGAAACCCTAATTCGATTCATTCTGAAAAATCGGCATTATAATTTCTTGATGACCGATCACGTGATATTGTGCCACTTCCTGATGCTCCATTCCTCAAAACTAACGTCATGTATATTCTTATTTGTCCTGTGGTTATAAACATCAAATGATACTGTAGATCTATTTTAGAATTGTCATATTTGTGTTTGGTGCAAATGAGGGATCTTCTTGGATTTATTCTAAGGAAAAATGTATAGTTGGGTTCACAATAGCGGTTCGTGTAAATGCTTGAGGCAATTGTCTAAAGCATATTATTTAATTTAGCATCCATTATTCGTTTCGTTGGGTACCATTGGCTTGGCATACCTTCCCATTCATACAACTTGCGTTGTTTCATCTATCGAAATTTCAAGCATATTCGATTGTGGTAAAATAATCCTCCAGCATCGCCCTACTTATTACCGACTCATAAATAGTTCGTATAGTTGACGTAAACTAGAATCATCAGGTACTTAAAAGAGTCTATAGTTGATGTAAACAAGAATCTTAAACACTAATAAAAAATACAATAAATAATAGTTTCATCAATATGATAAGGACATTTTTTGGAAACAAACATATGAGGAATACAAAAGAAAAAAGTTGACCATAACGCAAAGAAAGAATCTCAAAATATTGAAATAAAATAGACTTGAAATTAATCTTCCTCTAGTTAGAATTGTGGCTTAGAGCACTCAGGGGGGATCTGGCCTTTAAACCGCTTAAAATCAGTGCAATAGTTATAGATCATGTAGTTGTCTCTCACCCATTTGAGTCGACCCTGTTGATCATTGCTCAATTGCTTGTATACAGGAGACATCCACCAGTTTCCTGGGGTGGGAATAGCACACAGACTAATACTAACAGGTCCATTCCACTTACAAGCTCTTGCCCTAAACCTCCGATAATTAGCCACAAAAGGTGCAGAAGTCCAGTCAATCTTGACCAATCCACCTCTAGTCGCCCAATTATCTGCATTCCATAAACTGGAGTAAACTCTCATCCCTTGTTGATTTGGGTATGCAATCCCTTCACTCTCATAGTTTCTGAACACCCGAATAGGCACACTATCAACATACCATCTGCAATACATAAACAATATTAAAATAACTATTAAACAATCATTAAAGATGTAGAATTTGGTACTTCGATTTGGTTTTTACTTACACTACCATTGTAGGATTCCAGTGAATGGTGTAGTTGTGATAACCGGAAGTTGGGTCAAACCATAATTTGAACTGTTGCTCTTTGTTGCCTTGACCTTGAGTGTAGATGTTTGTGTGGATTGTGTATGGTTCTCCTGTTGAGTTCCCCAAGAACTCAAAGTCGATTTCATCATGTTTAGCACCCGTAGAAGACAACTGTGATCATTATTCAACTTTGTGTTTAGATTTGTTTATGAAATTATACAATCTTGATGTGTTTTTTAGGGTTAAATGCATGAAATAACGTGTTTTCATTGATTTGTTTATTTTAGCATCAAACTTATATTTCTTTCTTTAATAGGATTGTACTTTGAAGAGTAAACCTAATTATGGTATTGTCATCCATACACAAACCAATTTCCATTTGTATACCTGTATATACTTTATGGAAATCACAGAAAAAACATTACATTTTTGACAACTTTAAGGTTTAACTACTTAACCATCTAGGCTTGTTATGATATCCGGTTATCATGATTATTATAATAGGTCATAATACTTAATTTGGAAAAATATTTAGAACTTTTAATATTGTTTGATTGAAAACATATAACATTAGTGGTTAAACGGTGAAGCTACAATGTTTAACTAGAAAGAACTGAAAGATGAAAGTGTGTTGCTGTTTTAAGATATTATCCCTAATTATTTTACGTTGGTTCTTGAACTTACATAATATGCTGTCACGGTTCCAGCCGAGTTTCCTGGCACCAACTTGATTAGCATTTCAATGCTTCCGAACAGGAATGCCCTCTTTGATTGGATGCCTGATCCTGTAATTCAAAGTTGGAACTGGAATTAGAATTGGAATTGGAGTCGGAATCAAAGATCCCATTCTTGAATATATACCTGAAGTTTGGTCCAAAACAAGTCGGAGGTCATCACCGTTGCCTAGAATTGAAGAATGGTGAGCACCCCAATTGAAATACATGCTTTTGGCGATAGTTGCATCAACCATGGCGGAATGGAATGCTATTCCGATCACCAAAACCGTAATCAGCAAAGCTTGAGAACCTGCCATTTTTCAATCTGGTGAATGTTTCTCTAAATTTACTGGGTTTGTTGGTGGTGGTGGTGGTTTCTTTTTAGTTTATATAGCCTTTGTCCAGAATATGCACCTTACCAAGATGAATCTTGTATTCTTTGACTTTGTTTTATAATATATCTTGACCTTGTCTTTCATTTTGACATTCTTGCAGCCTTATATTTGCTTTCTGTTGTAAAAGTTCATGTTAAATTCAAAGTGTGTTTTATTAAGGAAAAAGAAGCCAAGCAAGAATATTGTGCACACCGTATTCCATGTATAAAACTCAGATTAGATATACAACACATTTCTGCTGCATTTGATATATGATAGATTAGCAATATAGATTTTTGCATATTTTAATTCGATTCAGAATGTTATTAATTAGTAGTTTATTATCTAAAAATGTTAAATCAATAAAATTCAAATTCATAATTTTATTATGACATGAGTTGTCTATTTGTCTAGTATATACATTGTTTTTTAGTTGTTAAAACATTTGGAGTAAGAAATATGTTTTATACTTTATTATATAAGGAATGTCTAAAGTTAATACTTACATGCATACATAAACACGCTTTTAGTAGGTGTACTACGCCATAAAAACCTGTGTACAAGCTGTAGAGATGATCGAACGCATAAATTGAACCGGTGCACAGCGGGGTGTGGGACTGTTTTAAAATACATACAAGCCGGCTTTGGGTTACCTATGGTTTTGTATAAGACGTGCATCCCAATCGAACGTAGCTACTTCAATAATTATAATATTATATTCATTATTGAATTATACTGATAAGTTCTTTATAAAGCTTTTACAGCATATATAGTCCTATATTAAATAATAACAGCTTAACAATTGTACATATTTTTGCTAATTGTCTGACTAATAAGTTTTCACAATACCATGCCTTCAACCCTATAAAATCAATAATATAAATTACATTAAAATTTAGAACTCTAGCACAACCATTAAGCACATTAAAGCAACTTAGACGTACATATACTTAAACAGTATTTTTTTAATAACAAAATTGAAGAAAAAGCTTTCTAAAAGCTTTGCTAATTAACTGGAGTTTGCATTGTCATAGGCTTTGCTATATACTAACCATATTACAACACTACGTAATCAAAAGCTTTACAAAAATACACCCACAATATTCTAATTACTAATAGTGTTACCGGACCATTAGCTTTTCCGGAAATTTCTAAATGAAGATGGTCAAGATCTGGATTAGCTAGCAACAACATATAACAGGTACACGACAAAGACACCAGAACCTGTTAGGCGAATACTGAGGGATATCGGGCAGTTATGTTAGAGTGTATTCAAATAGTTAAGGAGGGGAAATACTTATATATATATATATATATATATATATATATATATATATATATATATATATATATATATACTAGCAGTGTATCCGCGCAAAGCGGCGGGGCGTGTAAATTATTTCGGTGATATGTTTCCTCTACAAAAATGTTATTTTACAAAAGAAAGTACATGTCGAAGACAAAATAATCAAACTATGGTGTTATTTGGGAGATGAAGTCATTTTTTGTTCCTGGACGGTGGCTTTATAGCAGAGGAGGGAACAAAGAGGTATATGCGATTGGAGGGATATTTGAATCAACATGCTAAATTTAAGGATATCTAAAAGGGTTCAAAATTTGAATGAATCCGGGATTTGAGGGAGCATATCAAATTGTTGAGAAATATAAGGAGATTTGATGATAAATATTTGAATTCAAAATGTGGTTAAAATTTAATATTATTTTATTAATGGTTACTTATACTATCAGCTTCATCATTTGAACGTCTTAAAAAAATAATATTATTATAATCAATCTATTTTTAGAAATAGTTAGATTTCTTTTATAAGATAGTAAAGATATATATATATATATATATATATATATATATATATATATATATATATATATATATATACATATTGTGTGTGTGTGTGTGAGAGAGAGAGAGAGAGAGATAGAGAGACTTGA